GCATTTCTCCCCAGGCTATCCCTCCCCACTTCCCCCTCCCACTGACCCTCCCCTTTTCCCCCCAATAGACCCCAGTGTTTAGTACTCCCCTCCCTGTGTCCATGTGTTCTCATTTTTCATCACCCACCTATGAGTGAGAATATGCGGTGTTTCATTTTCTGTTCTTGTGTCAGTTTGCTGAGGATGATGTTTTCCAGATTCATCCATGTCCCTACAAACGACACGAACTCATCATTTCTGATTGCTGCATAATATTCCATGGTGTATATGTGCCACATTTTTCCAATCCAGTCTATTATCAATGGGCATTTGGGTTGATTCCAGGTCTTTGCTATTGTAAACAGTGCTGCAATGAACATTCGTGTACATGTGTCCTTATAGTAGAACGATTTATAGTCTTTTGGATATATGCCCAGTAATGGGATTGCTGGGTCAAATGGAATTTCTATTTCTAAGGCCTTGAGGAATCGCCACACTGTCTTCCACAATGGTTGAACTAATTTACACTCCCACCAACAGTGTAAAAGTGTTCCTTTTTCTCCACATCCTCTCCAGCATCTGTTGTCTCCAGATTTTTTAATGATCGCCATTCTAACTGGCGTGAGATGGTATCTCAATGTGGTTTTGATTTGCATCTCTCTGATGACCAGTGACGATGAGCATTTTTTCATATGATTGTTGGCCTCATATATGTCTTCTTTCGTAAAGTATCTGTTCATATCCTTTGCCCACTTTTGAATGGGCTTGTTTGTTTTTTTCCTGTAAATCTGCTTGAGTTGTTTGTAAATTCTGGATATCAGCCCTTTGTCAGATGGGTAGACTGCGAAAATTTTTTCCCATTCTGTTGGTTGCCGATCCACTCTAGTGACTGTTTCTTTTGCCGTGCAGAAGCTGTGGAGTTTCATTAGGTCCCATTTGTCTATTTTGGCTTTTGTTGCCAATGCTCTTGGTGTTTTGTTCATGAAGTCCTTGCCTACTCCTATGTCCTGGATAGTTTTGCCTAGATTTCCTTCTAGGGTTTTTATGGTGCCAGGTCTTATGTTTAAGTCTTTAATCCATCTGGAGTTAATTTTAGTGTAAGGTGTCAGGAAGGGGTCCAGTTTCTGCTTTCTGCACATGGCTAGCCAGTTTTCCCAACACCATTTGTTAAACATGGAATCCTTGCCCCATTGTTTGTTTTTGTCAGGTTTATCAAAGATTGTATAGTTGTATGTATGTTGTGTTGCCTCCGGTGCCTCTGTTTTGTTCCATTGGTCTATATCTCTGTTTTGGTACCAGTACCATGCTGTTTTGATTACTGTAGCCTTGTAGTATAGTTTGAAATCTGGTAGTGTGATGCCCCCCGCTGTGTTCTTTTTGCTTAGAATTGACTTGGCTATGCGGGCTCTCTTTTGGTTCCATATGAAGTTCATGGTGGTTTTTTCCAGTTCTGTGAAGAAAGTCAATGGTAGCTTGATGGGGATAGCGTTGATTCTGTAAATTACTTTGGGCAATATAGCCATTTTCACGATATTAATTCTTCCTAACCATGAACATGGAATGTTTCTCCATCTGTTTGTGTCCTCTCTGATTTCGTTGAGCAGTGGTTTGTAGTTCTCCTTGAAGAGGTCCCTTACGTTCCTTGTGAGTTGTATTCCAAGGTATTTGTTCGGTTGAATTTTACCCTGACAATGTAAATGGATAGTTCATAGGCACAAGACAAAGGACAGATCTCTAAGTCATCCCTCTGCTTACCTGAAACAAATGCATATCTGATTGCTTCCTGTGAGGTAAAAATGCAGATTCGCAAAGCTAAAGGAAGGCATAGAGACTATTCCTCTGCTCCCTGATAAGGTCTATATCTGTGTCCCCACCCAAATCTCTTATCAAATGGTAATCCCCAATATTGAAGGTAGGGCCTGGTGGGAGGTGATTGGATCATGGGGGTGAATTTTCATAAATAATTTAGCACCATCCTCTTGGTGATAGTGAGCGAGTGAGTTATTGTGAGATCTGGTTGTCTAAATTGTGTAGCACCGGGCTGGGTGTTGTGGCTCACAGATGTAATCCCAGCACTATGTGAGGCCAAGGTGGGTGGATCACTGGAGGTCAGAAGTTCGAAACCAGCCTGGCCAACATGGCAAAACCCCATTGCTACTAAAAATACAAAAATTAGCCAGGCATGGTGCTGGGCACCTGTAGTACCAGCTACCTGGGAGGCTGAGGAAGAAGAATCGGTTGAATCAGGAAGCGGAGCTTGCAGTGAGCTGAGATCACATCACTGTCCTCCAGCCTGGGGTACAGAGCAAGACTCTGTCTCCAAAAAATATAAAATTAAGTGTGTAGCACCCCCCCCCACCCGCCCGCCGCGTTCCTGCCATAAAAGACATCTTTTCCCACCTTGCCTTCGGTCATGAGTAAAAGCTCTCTGAGGCCTCCCTAGAAGCACAGGCTGCTATGCTTCCTGTACAGCCTGCAGAACTGTGAACCCATTAAACCTCTTTATAAACCACCAGTCTCAGGTATTTCTTCATAGTAGTGTGAGAACAAATTAATCCACCCCCTCTCACATGTCGTTTGTGTATTTGGCAAAAGGCTGACTGAAGACTCAAAAGAAGGCAAACCATTTGGCCTGTATCTCCCACACCTCTTTAAAATTTCTTCCTCTTTTCCCAATATACACCCTTTCTCCCTTAAATACTGAAGCCCTCCAAATCAACTTTGGAGAAAGGCATAGACTTGCCTCCCAGGTGCGCATCCTTAAGCTTTGCAAAATAAATTTCTACATTGATTGAGACCTGTCTCTGATACTTCTTGGTTTACACAGGTAATAAATAAATATGAAAAATGCAATGGACTCTACAAACATAATTTTAAACGTACAACATAGAGAAATACTCATCAAATCACAGAGACTAGAAAGCATTTGGTCACTGGTTTAAATTCTCTCTCATCTGAAACGTGTTTCCTCAATGATTCGTGATATTTGAATTGATATTGGTTACCTGGATCATCATCTCTTTCACTTTTGTTATTTTCTTTCTTTTAAGATGAAGTCTCGCTTTGTTGCCCAGGCTGGAGTGCAGTGGTGTGATCAGGGCTTGCTGCAACTCTGCCTACCAAGGCCAAGCGAGTCTCCTGCCTCAGTCTTCTAAGGATCTGGGACTACAGGTGTTTGCCACCACGTAGAGACGGGGTTTCACCATATTGACCAGGCTGGTCTCAAACACCTTAGCTCAGGTGATCTGCCTGCCTCAGCCTTCCAAAGTGCTGAGATTACAGGCATGAGCCACGGCGCCCAGCGCCTTCACTTTCTGGACATTAAAACTGAGACCTCTCTTCATCTGAGAAGGACTGCCTGGGGAGGCTGGTGGGGGCGGGGGAGCTTGCTGGCTGGCTGGGGGGTAGTTTTACTATCTCCCTGAATTTCATGTCAGGGTGGAGGCCTGTCCCTCTGTACCAGAGGTTGCCCGTCTGACTTCCTCAGGGTCCATCTGGCTTACTGGGCACTGCACTAGGCCTTACACATTCTCAGCACTCAATCAAGGCTTTGGAAATATAATTTCAATGGGTACATTATATATGACAACATAACAATATATATAATATACAATAATTTATAACATATTTGGACTATAAGGTATAAGATCGTGTGTGAAATATTAATTTCACATTGGTATAGTGTATAATGTAACATAATTATCATAGCTTTAAAAGTCATAATATCTAATACTTAATGACCTAACATTTTTACTAAGTGTTTACAAGGTGCCAGGTGCTGTTTTAGGCACAACATTGGATCATTTATTTCCCCTAAAAATATTCCAGGGAGATGGGTACCACTGTTAACAGCCCTACTGCAAAGGTGAGGAAAGCCAGGCCCAGAGAGGGCAAGTGACCTGCCCGAGGTCACACACCCTGTGACTGCTGGGCTTGGGAGAAGATATTTTACCTGGCTCCAGAGGAAACAGCCCTTATCAACCTAACATAAGTTTGTCGTCTAATAATTATGTATAAATACTATTTTATTATGTTATATACTCATGTGCATTGTGGTTACATGAATTATAAAATGCTTAAAGTGTATATATTTATTAAAGTGTATAATTTATAAATAAATTTACTATGTATATTTTACAGGGCATTACATATATTGTGTACTATGTTGTTGCACAATTATTTATTTGATTTTACATATACTGTTGATTCTATACATTTATATAAATTTGCTTATCAGGCCTGGCACGGTGGCTCACGCCTGTAATCCCAGCACTCTGGGAGGCCAAAGCAGTAGATCACTTGAAGTGAGGAGTTCAAGACCAGCCTGGCCAACATGGTGAAACCCATCTGTCCCAAAAATACAAAAAATATCCATGGGATTACAAGGGTGCCTGTAATCCCAGCCACTCGGGAGGCTGAGGCAGGAGAATTGCTTGAACCCAGGAGGCAGAGGCTCCAGTGAGCCAAGATCTTGCCACTGCACTCTAGTCTGGGTGACAGAGCAAGACTAATGAGACAAGTTATTTTGTGCTTTTTTACATGTTTATTATATGTTATGTACTTCTATATTAGGTAAATACATTTTGTATGCACATAAATTTATTGTTTCTTATATAAATTTAATATTTCTTTCATTACTTATCTATTATCTATTGTATATAAGGCATATACTACATTGGTATTTAGAATTCATTACCCTAACTATATTGTAATTAAAATAATTATCCTAACTACTTCCAAAGGCTTCCACTTAGTAATTACTCCAAGTGTGCCAGCACCTCCACTCACTTCACGTCAAGCGATTCCCATCGTTTCACTGGTAGGAAAACCGAGGCCCAGGGCACTTGGGGTAAGGCGCTCAGGGGGCTTTTATAAGGAAGCAGCGTAGGGGAGGGAATTCGAACCCTGGGTTCCCACAGTCGCCCGTGGGAGGGCCCCCAGGCCTTTTCCCAAAGATCAGATCACAGGAAGTGACGACTCGTTCGCCCGGTGGACCGGGGGCGTTGGGCGGGTCCTAGTCCAGGTGAGTGCCCGCCCCTACCCTGGGCTGGCCGAGCTCTTTCCTGGCTGCAGGGGACTGAGCTGCGGGATCCGACAGGCCCTCGAGGGCCCCCAGGGCCGTCGTTGTTTTGTCGGGGAAGAGGGTGGGAAGTCTGTGAAACGCCGGAGAGAAAGCTAAAGAACGACGGAGTGACCAAGACCTAGAGAAAGAGGCGGAGGTAGGGAGATAAGGAGAGAGCAGGTGGATGTGTGACGGTGTTCATTTACACATTCATAGACACAAATACAGAAGACAGGGGCGCAGGCGGACACCCCGGGACAGGCTCGGAAAGTCGCTGGGAGAGGCAGAGTCTGAGACCCCCAGAGCAAAGGAGACGGGCAGACTAGACCAGGCGCGTCTATGCCCCCGTTCGCCCTCAGGCTAAAATTGTCAGCTAGGACCGCTTTCCTGACCGCGGCCTCCTAAACCCCTCGCAGCTTGCAGGTTGCGGCTGCTGGCGCCACCCGAGTAAGAAGATCCGACCCAGACGCCAAGCTCTACTTTCCAGGGTAGTGTAGACCTTCTAGGGTGCGGGCGCCAGCTGCGAGGGGCCGTCGCGCTAGCCAATGACGGCGCGCAGGGATCGGCGCGGCCTTGTCCTCCGCCAATCAGAACTCAGCGGTGTCTCAGCCGCGGCCACACGGGCGCCTCCAGTGGGCCTGGGCTTTCCTCTGCACGGTTCCGTCCGCAGACGCTGCCTACGCAAGTGATATCAGCAGGACTTTTTGCGGGTCTGGACAAATCCTCCAGCCTGAGCTTTGCCTTCGCAACCCCCTAACCAGGCGCCACGAGGTTGTCCGTGGCTCGCGCTTCTTTTTCCAAAGGCCGCGGAGCCCTCTGGATGAGCACGGAGGCCAACAAATGCTTCCTCCTGCGAGACCTGCCTCTTACTTTAGCATCCGAATCTTATAGCTGACCAGACTTTGCGCAGCTCGCCGATTGGAAGTGGCGACTGCCCGGCAAGCATTTGCGCCCCTCCCCTCCTTTGACTTTCTTGGCCGGGTTAAGGGATAAGAGAGGGTGGAGTTGCCTCAGTTCTGCGAGAGCCCGTCTGTGAGTTCTGCACAGGTATCCATCCGAACTTGGGCTGGCGACGTCCTCTTGTGAAACTAGGAATATGCTCGCGCCTTGGATTGGGTCGAGGGAGACGTCAATTAAGGGATGGGCGGGTGCAAACGCAATACGATGCACAGTGTTGGTTGAGGTTTAGAAGTGGGAGGAGACAGCCGGGAGATGGGGCAGCTTCTTTCAATTGGCCCAGAAAGAAGGCGGTCTCGCCTTCTCTTCCACGGGATTGGCTAGAGCGAGTCGCGCCCCCCTCACGCCAACACCACTGGTAAGCGAAGTGGGTCTTGCTAGCTTCGGTTAGCAGCCGTAGTCTGATCCTTTGAAAGGAGTGCAAAGACGTCTCATTAAGCTCCCGAGCAGACCTGACGTAGATCCGGAAGTGGCCCGCGCCATCTCAACTGTGAGGGGACACCCGTAGGCGGCGGGAGAGGGACGCCGCGGGGAGCCAATAAAGCTCCTCAACCGGAAGTGTCTTCTGGGATGCGTCGCACCCGGAAGTGTGGCACCTCCCTGGACGCACCCGGAAGTGTGATGCTACAGCCACTACGGGGAAGTAATGGTATCCGGCCAGTTGAGATTCGGGGTTAGAGCAGGTGTTTGTATATCTTTACTTCCCGAGGCCCAGTAGAGTCTCCTCTTTTCGGGAAGTGTTGGAGGGGGCAAATATTTGGGCATGTTTTTGAATGTCTCATCCTATTAAAATCCGTAGGGAAACCAGCAGTAGGAGTGTGTCCAAGGGGCCTAACTCTGTAAAGGATTTTCAGAAGTTTCTTTCACTGCCCGTTACTCTCGATTCCCCTCCCCTTCAGGGATGTGCAGATGGAGGCCGGAGGAGACACTGCTGCCCCGGCCCCCGGGGGCACGGAGGACTTGGAGGACACGCAGTTCCCCAGTGAGGAAACTAGGGAAGGTGAAGGAGTTCACCCTGTCCCACCGGATCTCAAAGAGGAGGGCCTGGAGGAAACAGGTATTACTCTACTTACTGGGGTCTTAAAAGGAATCCCTAGGGGTTGTCATTGTTGGACGGGGGGAGGGTCAGTAGGTAACCAGTAGTCTTTTGGAACTCAAGAGAAGTGGCTTAAACCATAGCCGGGTCAGGAGAAGGTCACTGTGGACATACAGTGTAGTTTAAATCACTAAGGAAGTCATTGGGTGTCAACGGATGTTTACTGGGGATTTGGTGTGAGTTTAGGTTACTGAGGAATCAAAAGTGGGGCTGTTGGGGCCAAAGAGTCTCTGGGAATTTAGAGTATTTAGGTCAAAGAAACGCTGAAGAAAGTCAATAGAGTCCAAGGAGGACTGTTAGAAGTTGGTGTTTTTGAGGAGTAGGGTGTTATTTATTAGGTCCTTGAAGTGCGAAGGGGAATCAGTGGAGTTCCATGGGCATTCAGAGTATTTACATCCTTGAAGTCAGTGGTAGGCTGTTGGGCAAGTCTTTAAGTAACCAAATATTAGTGGATATGTAAAGGTGTTCATTTGGGATTTAATGGAAGTCACTGAGAAGTCTGTACCATTGATCACTCAGGAATTAGTGGATGTAAATGCAGTCATTGGGAAGGATCAGTCGACCCCACTGAGAATAAATGTGGGTGGGGAGGTTGAGGACTTGGGAATTATTAGCAGGCAAGAGCGGTTATTAAGTGATATTTGGGGACATGGGAGTGTCAGCGAATGTCAATGAGAGAGTATGCAATTATTGGGACTTTATGGGAAAATTAGTTGCAAATGGATAATAATGGCTGTCATTGGGGGATGAATGGATATCAATGGGAATGAATGGACATGTCAGGCCAGGCCATTGAAGTTGTGGATTTTAGTGAATGTTAATGATGGTCATGGGGAGGGGCAGTGAAAGTCATTAAAGTCTTGTGTGTTAGTGGATATTAGGATGGTTATTGTAGGGAGCAGGGTGGATATTAATGAAATTGAAGGTGGTCGGGGGAGTGAGTGAAGGTCACTGAAGTCCTGGGTGTTAATGATGGTCATAGTTGGGGGTAGAGGGTGGTGGACATGCAGTAGAAGAAATTGTGGATCAGGGCAGTCATGGAGGGTCATTGAAAATCCAGGTGTTAATGATTTTTAATGTGGGGTCTTTGGGGTGTTTGTGAACCACAGGGGGATTGAGTAGTGGGGTGGGGGAGTCCTAAAGATCTGGGTGTTCATGCATATTAACGATAGACATTGGGAGAAGTAGTGGACATTAACAAGAATATAAATGGATGACCAGGAGAGACAGTAGGGGTCATCAGGTATCAGTAGGCATCACTGATAAGGTAGTTGAGGGGTAGGGGCATTCAGACACTTAAGATATTAATAGATGTTAATGGTGGCCATTGGGTGAGCAGATTATCAGGAGAATAAATAGGGGTCAGAGGACTTAATGGGGGAATCACTGAAGATGAATAATGGTCATCCAGAGTCAATGGGGTGCCTTGAAGACTTGAGAATGACAGTTATCGAAAGAGAAGTAATTGGTCTCTAGGGACATAGCAGGTCCAGTGGAATAACAATGAAAATGTATTAACAATGAAAATGTATTGGTTTATTAGTGTTTTAGGGAGATCATAGAACCTAAGTGTTAGTGGAGATCATTTCAGGGTCCTAGGGCTGGCACTGATCAAGGGGCAGAGGAGACACTTGAAGGTCTGTGTCAGCATGCAGGGGTCATGTAGGGACTAGTAGATATTTGGTGGGTCCTTGGGGATGTGGAATTAGTTACGGGTTCACATGCAGATGACCCACCACGGGCTACCTTTCAGGATCCAAGGACAAGGACCAGCCACCCAGCCCATCACCACCACCCCAGTCAGAGGCCCCATCAAGCACCTCTCAGCTCTGGAGTCCTGTAGCCCCTGAGAACAGTCCCACACGTAGCCCTGAGAATGGCTCTGGAGGCCATGGTGGGGACCCCAGTGATGAGGACTGGCGCAGCCAGCGGAAGCATGTGTTTGTGCTGAGTGAGGCTGGCAAGCCCATCTACTCTCGGTACGGTAGTGTGGAGGCACTGTCGGCTACTATGGGTGTGATGACTGCCCTCGTGTCCTTCGTGCAGAGTGCAGGAGATGCCATTCGTGCCATCTACGCTGGTGAGCAAACAGGTGGGAGGCAGAATGGGGGACAGTGACTAGGAATATGGCTGGCATGGGTAGGTCTGTCTGCCTGAGGCACTATCCAACCAGCCAGGGTTGGGTCCATGTGTGTGGATGGTCAGCCAGGGCTCTGTCTGTCAGTCATGGGAGGTGGGGTTTTATCTGTCTGGCCTGCTGGTTTCTGAATGATTGACTTGCTGGGATCTAAGTGACTAGCTGGATATTCTGTATTGCCTGAGAGTATGACTGTGGGGGCTGTGTGGCTGAGGTATCTTTCTGGCTCTGTGGTAGCCTTGCACTATCTCTGCCCGCCTTCCCCTGTTCTGTGCTGTGTATCTAACCTACCTGTTCCTTTGTCCGTCCCATTACGTCTCTGCAAATGTCCAGATTCCTCCAGCTTGTCTTTACCCCAGTCCAGGTGCCCACAGAGTGATCGTGTGGACTTAGGCCCACTGTATGTACGGTAGGAGAGGGCAGAAGAGCCCCACTGTCTCCCTCTGGTCATTCCTGATCCAGCTCTACCCCCCTTCTCACCCCTTCCTTCCCCAGAGGACCACAAGCTGGTGTTCCTACAGCAGGGCCCACTGTTGCTCGTGGCCATGTCACGGACTCCTCAGTCAGCCGCCCAACTGCGGGGAGAGCTGCTAGCTGTGCACGCACAGATCGTGAGCACACTGACACGTGCAAGTGTTGCCCGCATCTTCGCACACAAGCAGAACTATGACCTCCGCCGCCTGCTGGCTGGCTCAGAGCGCACACTGGACCGACTTCTGGATAGTGTGGAACAGGACCCAGGAGCCCTGCTCCTGGGCGCTGTGCGCTGCGTGCCCCTTGCCCGCCCACTGCGGGACGCACTGGGTGCGCTCCTCCGACGTTGCACAGCACCTGGCTTGGCGCTGTCAGTGCTGGCAGTAGGCGGCCGACTGATAACAGCAGCCCAGGAGCGGAATGTGCTGGCTGAGTGCCGGCTGGACCCAGCGGACCTGCAGCTGCTGCTCGACTGGGTGGGTGCACCAGCCTTTGCGGCAGGTGAGGCTTGGGCACCAGTGTGCCTGCCCCGCTTCAACCCTGATGGTTTTTTCTACGCCTACGTGGCCCGTCTGGATGCTATGCCTGTCTGCCTGCTGCTGCTTGGCACCCAGCGCGAAGCCTTCCATGCCATGGCCGCCTGCCGGCGCCTGGTCGAAGACGGGATGCATGCCCTTGGTGCCATGCGTGCCCTTGGGGAGGCTGCCAGCTTCTCTAACACCTCATCAGCCAGTGCTCCTGCCTACAGCGTGCAGGCTGTGGGCGCGCCGGGCCTCCGTCACTTCCTGTATAAGCCGCTGGACATCCCTGACCACCACCGTCAACTGCCCCAGTTTACCAGGTAAGCCCTGACCCTAAGGCAATTGGCTGGTGGGAAGGCCTGTCTAACCAGGAAGTTCAGTGTCTCAGGGATGATGGAGCCTCAACCACAGACCTAAAGGAATCCCCCTATTCTGGTGGAGGGCAGGGCCCTAGTAGTCAGGGAATCCCCCCAGTTTGATGAAGGAAGCTCAGCCTGTAACCCCTGAGAATCCTCAGTTCTCATGGGAGAGGCTCAGCTCCCTAACTTGATTGAAATCTTTAGATTGAGGAAGGACATGGGCCAGTCAAGAATGCGCTGGAGTAACCTTGCCCTCCCCCTCTCTCCAACATGGCAGCCCCGAGCTAGAGGCCCCCTACAGCAGAGAGGAGGAGCGGCAGCGGCTGTCAGACCTGTATCACCGCTTGCATGCTCGCCTTCACAGCACCTCCCGACCCCTGCGCCTCATTTACCATGTGGCTGAGAAGGAGACGCTGCTGGCTTGGGTGAGTTGGGCAGGACTCTGAGTGAATTGATTCCCCACTTCAGGCCTCCCTTCCCTATACTGTATCCCTTCCAGCCATAGCACATCCAGCAAACACACCAGGCCTCTGCCTGGGCTGTGTCTTGCCTGCAACACTGTCCCTGCCTTTACACATGCATCTAGGAGGCCCCTGACAGCTAATCACCGTGTCTCTAACCTCATGTTAGCCTCACTCTCCTATGTGCTTTTCTGCCATTAGCAACCAGGAGAGTGTCTTTGACTTTCCAGAGGTCCCTTTAACATCCATTGCTGTTCCTGCCAATTCCCCAGTAGCCCAACCCATGTGTCTGGAGATACCCTATTCGTCACCAGCTCATTATGACTCAGTGGGTCTCCAGCATTCCTCAAACACTACAGGCTTGGTCCCATGCTGTGCCCTCTACCTGGAAGATCCTTCCCTTGGGTCTCCTCTGGGCTTCAGCCCTCACTTCCTATGGGTTTGTTAAAGGTCAGCTACTGCAGGAGGCCAGTGAAGGGAACCTCATCAGAAATGGCACCTTCCCCTAGGCCCTCCCATGTAGTGCATATTTGTTAACTTACTGCTTGACTCTTGTGTATTAGGCATTGTCATAGGCTAAGGATTTTATTTTTAAAATGTTTTAGCTTTCATTTTCAAATAATTTTAGACTTAGAAGTTACAAAAACATTATAGTTACTAGAAAGAGACCCGTGACCTAGTTCCTCCAAAGGTCAACATCTCGTATAACCACAGTAGCTTATCGAATTTAGGAAATTAACATTGGTGCGGTAATATCTAATCCACGGAGTTCATTCAGATGTCACCAGTTGTCCCACTCATGTCCTTTGACTGGTCCAGAATCCAGTCCAGGATCCCGTTGGATTTATTTATTGGGTCTCCGAGTCTTGTGTATTCTGGAACAGTTTCTCACTCTTTTCTGTCTCTCATGACCCTTGGCACTTTTATGGAGGGCCAGCCAGTTAGCTTGCAGAAAGTCCCTCAATGTAGTTTTTTCTAATGTCATATCATGAGTAAACTGAGTTCATGCATTTTGTGCAAGCATACCACAGAAGCAGCGCTGTTCCCTTCCCTGCATCGTATCAGGAGGCACATGATTGTCATCTGTCGCATTGTTGATGATGTCAACTTTGATTACTTAAAGTTGTGTCTACCACATTTCTCCATTATAGAGTTGGTATTTTCCTGTTTTGTAATCAGTGAATATCTGTGGTGATTATGTCATTGTCATGCTTTACATCATACTTTTACCCACTGATTTGCTAGATGGTGTCTTCCTGTGTAGCCCAAGCTGGAGTGTAGTGGTGCAATCTTGGCTCCCTGCAACCTCCATCTCCCAGGTTCAAGGGATTCTCTAACCTCAGCCTCCCAAGTAGCTAGGATTACAGGTGCATGCTGGGAGGCTGAGGCTAGAGATTTGTAGTAGAGATGGGGTTTTGCCATGTTGGCCAGGCTGGTTTCGAACTCCTGGCCTCAAGTAATCTGCCTGCCATGGCCTCCTAAAGTGCTGCCTAGCCAGATGGTGGTTTTTCTAACTCCATCATTCTTTCTATATTTATTGGTTGGGATTTTACTATAAAGAATAACTTGGGGCTGGGTGTGGTGGCTCACGCCTGTAATCCCAGCACTTTGGGAGGCCGAGGTGGGCTGAGCACTTGAGGTCCAGAGTTCCAGACCAGCTTGGTCAACATGGTGAAATACCATCTCTACTAAACGTACAAAAATTAGCTGGGCATTATGGTGGATCCCTCCAATCCCAGCTACTCAGGAGGCTGAGGCAGGATAATCGCTTGAACCTGGGAGATGGATGTTGCAGTGAGCCAAGATTATGCCACTGCACTCCAGCCTGGGTGACAGAGTAAGACTATCTAAAAAAAAAAAAGCAGGGGTCGGGGGTGCCATAACTTTTCCTTTCTTCTATTTGTTGAATTTTTAATTTTTATCAATATTATCTCATAAATTTTTCTTTAATTCAGTGAGGTAAAATCCTTTTCTAGCATTTATTTTGGTGTTCAGATTTCCTCTGATTTAGCCAGGCTGTTCCCTGTGTCTCTATGACACGTCTCCTTCACTAAGTGAGTACATCTTACTTGACTTTCGCTATTGTGGTCCTCAACTCAGCTACTTTTCCATGGAGCCATTGTACGTTTCAGTAGAGATTGGAATTTACAAACCAAGATACGGGCCAGGCATAGTGGCTCACGCCTATAATTCCAGCACTTTGGGAGGCCAAGGCAGGCAGATCATGAGGTCACGAGTTCAAGACTAGCATGGCCAACATGCTGAAACCCTGTCTCTGCAAAAAAGTAGCTGGGTGTGGTGGCACACGCCTGTAATCCCAGCTACTCAGGAGGCTGAGGCAGGAGAATCACTTGAACCCAGCAGGCAGAGATTGCAGTGAGCCACAACCGTGCCGCTTCACTCCAGCTAGGGCAACAGAGCGAGACTCCCATCTCAAAACAAACAAACAAACAAACAAGATATGTTAGAACCAGAATTTTAAACCCAGTGAACAGGGTAGGCCTCCCTGAGGAGATGGCATCCGAGTGGAGTGGGGCGGTATTGAGCTATATGGATATTAGGAGGAAGAATACACCTGGCAGAGGGAAAGGACTGCATATGCTGTGAGGTGGGACTGAGCCTAGCTGTTTGAGGAGCAGCGAGGAAAAGTAGAGTGGCTGGAACAGAAGGAGTAAAGGGGAGAGCTGTGGGAGGGGGCACAGGAAAGATGCTAGTGACCTTGTGGGGTCAGGTCTCTCCAGTTGGTATGAGGCTTAAATTGAGTTCCTCTTTATATTATTCCCTGGTTGTAGATGATGAAAACATAGCTGTATGAGCTTAGAGCAGGACCTTGTACACAATAGGTTACAGGCAGAATATTAAACATTACTGCTTTCCCCAGTCCCCAGATGAGCAAACTGAGGTCTAGAGGATACCCCCACACACAACCAGCATCACCCAGTTGAAGCCACTAGGTCCAGCTGACCCTTGACTCGTGAATTTCACAACAATATCAGCTTACCTACCTTAGCCCAGTATCTAGGCAGCACCAGGTAGAAGGTGCTTCCAGGTACACCTTCCAGGCTGCAGGAGGCAGATGTGCAGCTGCGTTGGGATAGACAGGATTCTCCATGGCCACTGCTGGCCCATCTGACTGTGTCTCCTCCCAAACCCCCAGGTGACCTCCAAATTTGAGCTCTATACCTGTCTCAGCCCTCTGGTGACCAAGGCAGGTGCAATCTTGGTAGTGACCAAACTGCTGCGCTGGGTGAAGAAAGAGGAGGACCGGCTCTTCATTCGTTACCCACCCAAGTACTCCACACCACCAGCCGCCTCTACGGACCAAGCTGCCCATAATGGCTTGTTCACTGGACTCTGAGAGATGGAGCTCCCAGACCAGGCAGTACTGGGAGCAACCACCTGTTTTTTACCTTCTGTCTCCACCCTGGAAATGTGGGTGGGAGTGTGTCTGTGGGCAGTCATTGTCTCCCTAGGCAATGGGGCGAGATCTGAGGGCCTGCCAGTGAGAGAGATGGTGGCAGCAGCCAGGCGAGCAGGCTGCTTTCCTCACCCAGTCATGCACCTCCCCATCTGGGAAAATCCTTAGGCCTCCCTCTCCCTTCCCTCTGTCTCACCTCCTCCACTTGGATGATTCTGTGGCCTCTGTCACGGACTGTCCCCTGCAAACTTGCTTCAGGGGTCAGTCTCAGTTGAATCTCAGCCATGAGTGTCCACGGCTGGCCAAGGTCTCTAGGGTGGCCCACAGGGGTGCTGGAATTGGAAATTCAGGGCCAGACTGTGCTTGGAACTGGCCTAGGGGTATTTTAAAGAAAAAAAAACTGTATATAAAAGGTCTAAAAGTAAGACCCACAGGGATATTCCTTTGCCCTTCTTATACTTCTTTTCATCTTCACCCTACCAAAAATGACCCCCCTCAATGCTGGCTGCTGCTAACATTAATGAGAAGGTGGCCTCCGGTCTCCACCTGTGGAACCCTGATTGCACACTGGCTGAATCCAGCATTTTTAGGTAGGAGATGTACTTAGCTTCTAAGCCTCATTTTACTCATCTGTGAAACAGAGATAACTGCCCTCTCTCATGAACTCTTTAATGAAGATTTGTAAACAAAAACAGACTGGAACTCTGTGTACCACCGCACAGCACGTCTGTCCCGAGTTTGACAGCCTGCACAAGACAAGCAGCCTAAAGCGCGAGAGACCTCCCTAGGGTTTTGTATGTGCGCACACTCCCCTCACTCCCCACTGGCCACCACCCTAGTTCTGCCCTTGTTTGTCAAAGTTGGCATTCACAGCCTCAAGGTTGTGGCATGCGTGCGGTCAATCCGGGACACTGCGTTGCGCGCCTGCCCAGAGCCAACTCCTGGGTCAACCGCTAGCGCAAGCGCAACCTGCACACCGGCGCGCTGGAAAGCCTTCCACCCTCACGTGGTTTCTTTTCTAGCCAATCATCAAGCAGGGCTCGCGCTCAGGCCCTTCGTTAGAGAATGGCGGGGAAGCTGCAACCGCTGAATGTGGAGGCGCCGGAAGCCGCGGAGGAGGCTGAAGGTAGTGAGGGCAAGTGGGTTGCACTCCTTTCTCTCTGACCAGGGCAGAAAGGAGGGAGGGTTCATCTCATTACAATAATGAAATGATGGTAATCTAATAGTTTTTTTTTTTTTTTTAATAAAATTAAGCCTTTTGTTATCGAAGGAAAAAAACGGTTCAGCAGAGTGGAGATAAATTAACAGGCATATTCTTATTCTTATCGCCGAGATTAACTTTTGTCAATTCTAGTGAATATATTGTTTAAAATAAATAATACATAGGTCACTGTGCCAGTCTAGAAACAAAAGTGGAGCGGATGTTCTCATAAAAATCACCCTGCTGCAGCCACCCTTATTAACAGTGATTCCCAGTGTCGCCGTTTCACGCCTATCCCATATCACTTTGCTGAACTTTTAAACCTCTGAATAGAACACGGCCTCCCCACAGCCTCTTTTCTCCAGGGTATTGACTTGAATGACAGGTAAAGGAGGGTGGAGAAGTGTCGGCCTAGACACTATTGGAAATTGTATTCCGGCCAAAAGAAAGAAAAAAAAAATCTCCCGTGGCCGGGCTTGGTGACCCACGTCTGTAATCCCAACACTTTGGGAGGTGGAGGTGGGTGGGTCACACCTGAGATCAGGAGTTTGAGACCACCCTGGCCTACATGGCGAAACCCCATCTCTACTAAAAATACAAAAACTAGCTGGGTGTGGTGGCAGGTGCCTGTAGTCTCAGCTACTTGGGAGGCTGAGGCAGGATAATTGCTTGAACCTGGGAGGCGAAGGTTGCAGTGAACTGATTGTGCCCCTGCACTCCACTGTGGGTGATAGAGTGAGCAAAAAAAGAAAATAAACGAAAATCTCCCAAGGCAGTAATGTATTTCTATGCCACTAGTATTTTGTTGTTGTTGTTAGAAACATTCAAAGTGTACCAGAGTACCCATCACTATGCTATAACCGTTGTCACCTTTTTGCCCCACTTTTATCAGTCTCGAACTCCCCTTTCTGCACCCTCTTTAAACCACTATATTAATAAGCACATTAGACTGCATCCTGCCAGACCTGCCCACTTGACATCAAAGTAATGATTATTGTTTATTGCCTGACCTAGGATGTAAGCTCCATAAGAAAAGAGACTGTTTACCTCTCGTGCCCAAAACAGCGTCTGCTTAGTGTGTAGTGGGTGCTCAATAATTTTTTAATGCGTGACTAATGAAGTAACTTCAACACAGAGAGCTGTTTTAGATTAGAGCCACATACTGAGTGCCAGCATTCATCAAAGGACAGACAGAAATAAGACGGATGCAAATGGATCTCATTTGTTAACGGTGTAATACAGCTGCCACTACAATTTAAAAGAAAAAACGATTTTAGTATCAGCCTTTCAAATTCCTCAAAATTAAAGTTAATGATTAACTTTACCAGCAAAGGAAAAAATTAAAAGATGTATCATCAAGTTCCCATTTCCAGCCCATCAACTTAGCTTTCTGAAGGAAAGAAGAGTATCTGGTATTGACAACTCTGTAGAGAAACAGGTCTTTTCCTGCTTCAGGGAAGAGAACTAACTCAAAGGCTTTGCTAGAGGCAGTTTGGCAGAGTATTTTTAGCATCTAAAATGCTCTTCCACTTCCGCAGTCACCTTGCTATGTAGTCATAGGAGAATATGTCCGTGTATGGACCAGGAATGGCGATTGGCATGTTGATGGAGGCACAACACAAGGAACAGTCACAGAAATGACTAAATCTAGGTATACGTGTGCACGCTGTGGAATGTATCTGTGGTGGGTTATTTGTAAGAGGCAGAAAAAAATAAATTCTAATTTAAATGTATTAAAATTAAATTTTTCTTGTTTTTCTTTTGAGACGGAGTTTCACTCTTGTTACCCAGGCTGGAGTGCAATGGCACGATCTCGGCTCACCGCAACCTCCGCCTCCTGGGTTCAGGCAATTCTCCTGCCTCAGCCTCCTGAGTAGCTGGGATTACAGGCATGCGCCACCATGCCCAGCTAATTTTTTGTGTTTTTAGTAGAGACGGGGGTTTCACCATGTTGACCAGGATGGTCTCGATTTCTTGACCTCATGATCCACCTGCTTTGGCCTCCCAAAGTGCTGGGATTACAGGCGTGAGCCACCGCGCCCGGCCTAAAATTAAAGTTTAAGTTGAAGGATTATTATGGACACACAGGGAGCTCCAAAAGAAATCCTGTGTTTATTAGGAAAAGCCAGCTGGGATTAAAACAATGGAGGAGGGTATAGCCCTGTGTATGTTGCACAGAAAAAGTCTCTGAAGGGTAAAAGCCTAAGTGATAACTCTGGACAAGGGACTTGGATTTGAGGAGTAGTGCAGAGGTAGAGGCATTTTTGTGATTTTCTATTCTATTTTTCTTTTAGAAAAATGTAAGTAGTAGTATATAATTTTAAAATATAAAGGAGAAGTGGGAAAATTTTGAATGGCAACTGAGGATCCTATATTCATATTGGATAAGTATTCACATCCATGTTTTGGTGGTTGTACTGTGGTTACCTGGTATATTCCCTTTGTATGTAGGAAACAGTGGAATAGTAAGGAGTAATGGGCCAAGATGTCTGCAATTTAATGTTCGGAATCACTCACAAGTGGGGAATGTGATATAAGGGCAAAATGGGAGCACCGTGGCCTATTTTTACAACTTTTGTGTATATCTGAAATTATTTCAAAATAAAATGTTTAAAAGGCTGCTCTTACTGTCCTGGCTGTTTTCTTTTGTAATGGACTTTGTGTGTCAAAATGTTAGTTGAATTATTTGAAATATTTACTTATTACCCACTCTTGGCCTTATTTCATGACAAGCACTAGAAAGCAGGAGAGGTATAACACGGATGGAACTTTAGCAGAAATGCTTGCAAATGGCAGCTGTATAAAAGACATGGAGACAATCAGGAAATTCATACGTAGCCTGGGTATTGGGTGATACTACGTGATGAGTAGTAATCTTGTCAATTGTGATTATAGGATTGGGGTCACCTAAGAAAATGTCCTTAAGTAGTTACGACTCGTAAGGAAGTATCTGGGAATAAAATGTCAAGAAGCCTGGGGCTTGCTTAAAAATAATTCAACGCGGGGAATAACAGTTGAAACAAATAGGGCGAATATTATTGATTGTCAAATCTGGGCAATGAGCGTTATCAGAGTTAATCATAATATCCTCGCTATTCTCATGTGCATTTGAAAGCTCTCAGAGTACTAAAAATAAAACACAAACACTTCCCCTTGTTGCTGTTAAAGTAGTTTTACTTTGTTTCATTTCCAAAATATTCAGAATATTTTTTAAATTAAAAAATCTCAGGAGGGGACATACCAATTTGTTCAAGGTGATTGTATCTGGCGAAGCAGTGAGATCTAAGATTAAGGAGAGAAGAAAAAAATCATTTTTAACTTCACATATTTCTTTGTTGTTTGAATTTTCTTAGAATTTTACTTGAGTAAGTAAAAATTAAAGCAATACGTGAAATGTATTTAACTAAAAGACAAGTGTTGTCAGCAAACTGCTGGCTGTAGTTACTTCCGGGAAGGGGAGTGACTTGGAGAAGCAGCTGCTGGTGAGGGGAGACTTCTACGTTTTAGTTTTATTCTTCACATTTGTTTATTATGTAAGTTATTCTACATGTATTTATTGTGTAATTTAAAAATTAAAATAATACATACTAATTTATAAAAAATTTCAGACCAAACAAAAAGATACAAAGGTGAGCATACCACCAAATATTTCAAAAAATTTTTAATAAGCTCAGGTATAAAAACCCTGATTTACAGCTGGGTACAGTGGCCCATGCCTGTAATTCCAGCACTCTGCGAGGCAGAGGCGGGTGGATCACAAGGTCAGGAATTTGAGACCAGTCTGGCCAATATGGTGGAACCCTGTCTCTACTAAAAATACTAAATACCCAGGCATGGTGGCAGGTGACTGTAGTCCCAGCTACTGGGGAGGCTGAGACAGAAGAATTGCTTGAACCTAGGAGGCAGAGGCTGCAGTGAGCCAAAATTGTACTACTGCACTCCATCCAGCCTGGGCAACAGAGCGAGACTCTGTCTCACAAACAAATAAAAAAAAACCCTGGTTTACAACATGACTTTTAATGGCTGCAAAGAATTTCATCCTACAAACACGCTTTAATTGATCTCCTAAGGTATCTTCAAGTTACTTCCATATTTTAAAATTATAAGCAGTGAAACAATGAACATCTTACCCACCATCCTTAATTTCCTTAAGATACATTTCTAGGAGTGGAATTTATGATCAAGAGGAGGTGAGTAAGGTTTTGGTATTTATTTATCAGAAAGTTTGAAATGAAATACTGTTTTTGCTGGTTGAGTTGGCAAAAAAAAAAAAATGAAGTTTAAAAACATACTTGCCTGGTAAGAGTATGATTTGTGGGCCTGAGACAGGTGAAAGGCAATTTCCTATCAGCCAGATTTAATAACATACATATCATTTGATCCATCAGGTAGCCTCTAGGTAGTACTCTATGAGTATACAGTAGATACACTCTAATGCAAACACAAAGAAGAATGTACAAGGTTGGTGTACTAGGTTGAATTGTGTCCCTCCAAAATTCGTGTTCACCAGAACTTCAGAAATGTGACCTTATTTGGGAGAAGAGTGTTTGCAGATGCAATTAGTTAAGATGAGGTCATACTGGATTAGGGAGGGCCATAATCCAATGGCTGGTGTCCTTGTAAGTAGAGGGAAGTATGGACACATGAGACTGGCATGTGAAGACACAGACACAGAGGGAAGACCCAGTTTGTGGTACTTTATTATGGCAGCCTGAGAACACAAATGATCATTGTGACATTCATTGTAACAGCAAAGTAAGGTAAACAGTTTAAATACGCATCAATAGGATTTTGCTCTGAAATTATGGTATATCCACACAGGAGAATGCCATGCAGCCCCTAAAAAGAATAAAAAGATCACCAGCATACATTATCAAATGAAAATTACAAGATGGGATGCATTATGTACAACATGTTACCACTTACAAAGAAAATATGGGATGTATGTTTGTATATAAATTGAATCATCTCCAGGTACCTACACATAGCTTATAATGTTAGTGGCCTCTGAGGAGGACAATTGGAGAACTTAGTCTGAGGGAGAGGGAATTTTTACTGTATACTACTGTGGGTAAGCATTTCTTCATTAACTTTTTGGCTATTGTGTTTGTGAGGTGCCTTTCGTCTTCTCTGTTCAGTTTTCCTTAGAGACGAGTGGGTCACTGAGATTTGACCTTTACCATTGATTTCAAGACTTTCGGATTTTTATTTAATGTTAATATTTTCCTGTGATTTTTCTTGTTTGCATGTTAAAAGTAACACAGGCTCATGTTAAAATATACATAAATACACACACACACACATACATATATACACAGAAGTATATATGGTGAAAAGTGTGGTGAATCAGGATTCAAATAATGTCTGTTCATTTAATTGATTGATAAAAGCCTCAAGTCTTTTTTAATCTATAGGATTTTCCCTCTCCCTCATTTTCTTCTTTACAACTTATTTGTTGAAGAAACCAGGTTTTCCTGTGGAGTTTCTCACAGTCCACATGATGCTGAGCACATCCCCAGGGGGGCGATTTAATGTGTTTTCCTGCCCTTAGTATTTCCTCCAAATTAGTATTTAGATGTGGAAACCTGATGAGACTCCATCAGGCTTTTTTGTTTTTTGTGGGGGTTTGGGGGCAAAAATCCTGCATCCGCCATGTTGTGTTCTTTCCTCTAGAGGCTCATAGGGATCACTCCCCAAGGCAGCTTGTAAGTGCATCCTGAGCTGCAGTCCTCAAATTTAGCTGAAATAAACTCTCTATATTAAAAGTAAAAACAAAAATCCTGGCCAGATGCAGTGGTTCACGCCTGTAATCCCAGCAACTTGGGCAGCTAAGGCAGGCGGATCACGAGGTCCAACATGGTGAAAACCCGTCTCTACTCAAGATACAAAAGTTGGCTAGGCTTGGTGGTGCACACCTATAATCTCAGCTACTTGGGAGTCTGAGGCAGGGGAATTACTTGAACCTGGGAGGTAAAGGTTGCAGTGAGCCGAGATTGTGCCACTGCACTCCAGCCTGGGCGACAGACTGATAATCTATCTCCAAAAATAATCCTTTGGTCCGGAGTGGCAAGGTTAAAAAAAAAGAGGCTCATAATATCTAGTTGTCTTTCTTTTGATGTTAGCAGCCATTAATAACTGTTACCTCGATCTATCAGTTCATTAAGAATTTATAAATTATGGGCTATAATTATTTCAAAGAAATTTGTAGGAAATATTCCTGCCCTATTGCTCTAGTTAGAACTTTATAAGGGTCTTAAACTGAAGCAGCAGCAAAGTCTCGCCCCTGAGTGTCGTCATTAAGGGGATGTTTGTGGTGGTGTCTTTTAACCTCTCTGGGAGAAGCTGACACTTAGGGGTCCTGATTTATCTAGCACACACCATAAACCTCAAGTGCAAGAGACAGGGGCCCTGCTGTGGATAGAAACCTGTCCCTCATCCCATCCTTAGCCCCGCCCACGGGTGTCTGCAGAGCCCACTGGGACTGTCCCCTCTCACTCTCATCGGGTCCTGTAATTTTTGGTTTTCGTTTCTACAGGGCAAGCCAAGTCTTTGAGGAGTGAAGACTTGCTGGCAATGGTGATAAAGCTGCAGAAAGGTCATGTATCTCTTTGTTTTTGAGCCTCAGCCTGGGGTTTCAAGTCAGAAAGACATGGTTCAAATTCAGCGCCCTCAACTCACAACCTTGGGAAATTATCCCATTGCACTTTCTCCCTCTTAATTCTTTGAACCAAGAATACAGCCCCACAGTTCAAAATTGAAGTTTAAAGGAATGGAAAAACCAGCTGCCCCCCACCCCACTTCCCTCCCCCCACATACGAGTCATCCATTTCCTTGACTCGCAGGCAAGTAGGTTATTATTTTTCAATTCTTAAGTATCTTTCCAGAGATTTTTAAAAAATGTATTCATGGGTATATATTTTTGTCCTCCCTTTCTACATACAAATGGCAGTGCAGTTGGTTTTGCACCTTGCTTTGCTTTTTGTGGGAGATCAGGGAGCCAGTGTGCACCCAGTACCTACATCAGACCTGAGGCAGTGCTGGCCAGGTTTGAGGTTAGACCCCCAGCCCATTCTCATCTTAAAATAGTATAACATCAGTCTCTTCCAAAAAAAATCAGCAGCCTCCCCTTTTCCCACTCTGTGGCTGCCTGCAGTATAAGTGCATGGGACTGCTGACTAGGGTAAAATCAGGGAGAAATTGCAGGGCCAGAAATATGTGACCCAACCTGATCATTTCCAGTAAAACAAAGACCCCCACCCAGAGATTTCTGTCAGTCATAATCAGAACCGTGGAGATTACCCACTCTCTTGGAAATCACAGAAGCTGGAGTTGGTGACCTTGGAAAATCCATGGTCTGAGTTTATTAACCTCAGAGTGTCTGAGGGTTTGGCAGTGATACTGGCAAGGGTAGGGCAGCTTTTTGCCCCAGTTCTGTGTTGCCAACCTTGAAGCCAGAGAGGAATGAGAAGGAAGTCTTCTCCATACAGAGCACTGAGACAGGGATTATGAGAAGTTAGAGGTGACTCCCTAAAGGGACAGTGATCACCCTGTCACTGGGAAACTTGTGAACTGCTACCATCAGTGTAAAAGCATTGTTTCCTCATTTCTCAGATGAGACCAGTGCCAGAGTCCAGACTGACCCTTCCTGCCTGGCTTTTGACAGAGCGGGGCAGATGCGATGTCTCACTTGGCTGACACCACACTCAGCATTACATCTGAAGGCTTCCACGATGGCCCAAGATGCCCTGAGTCATATAACTTCCCACTTACCCCACCTCACCTTCTGCTATTCTCTACTTGCTCACTAGACTTGAGCCACACCAGCCCCTCACTTTTACTTTGGACATGTGCCTCAGTAGCTTCTGGTGCAGGGAATTTGCACTTGTTCCTTCTTCGTTGTTCTCTGCCTGGAATGGGTCCCCCCTCCACACTCTTTACCCCCACAGGCTGCAGGGCCTGCTTCCCTCTCCTCTTTCCGTATCTCCAGACATGCCTTTTACCCTTTCGCTCTTCAGCACTTTGCCTCGCTTTATTTCTCCTCACAGCAGTTACTTCCATCTCAATTGATTTATTTATGTTTGCTCAATGTCCATCTCTCCAACCCAGAATGTAAGCCCTTCAAGGGGCTCTAACAGAGCTCAGCACACAGCAGGCGCTCAGTATATGCCTATTAATTGATAGGCGCAGACACAGTGCTTCTCCATCTGCCTTGGACAGTCAGACGCCAGTCTCCTCTGGGTCAATATTTCTTCCTTTCTTTCTTCAGAGGGAAGCCTGGAGCCACAGATAGAGGACCTGGTTAACCGGATTAATGAGCTTCAGCAAGGTAAACTTGGGGACCTAGACTGGCCAGCGGGGCCAGCAGGAAGGCCTGGATTTGTAATGAATCGACCTCCTCATCTATAAAACCTAGGCCCCTCTAGGGCTGTTTGCAGATGAATATGCAATGTCATATTTGTGGGTGAACAGCAAGGCTAGAGACTACACTCACACAGTCTTCTTCCCTTCTTTGGTCTAGCACAAAAGAAATCCAGTGAGGAACTGAGAGACACCCGCACTCTCCAGGAGGCCCTGCATAGGGAATTAGACTCCTGTAAGTGGGGCCAAAGAGGGACTCATGAACGCTGCAGATGGCTACAGTGCTCTTAGGCTACACAGTCTGTATTGCCTCTCACTGTCTCATATCATCTTTCAGCTCTCTGCTCAGACTTCACCCTGACAGGCCTGCCTAGATGGTCTTATCTAAGAATAGAATCCCGCCCTCTCTTGGTCATTCTCACTCCCCTGCCTGATTTGTTTCTTAAGAGCCTTTATGTCCACCTGACATGGTGTGTGTACATCATCTTTCTCAGTGTAAACCTTGTACATTCTTCAGTATCTTCACTCCTTCAGCACTTACAAGGAATGTGGGCCTGTGGGGTTGAAGCTGGTCCTTGTGGGAGATGGTTCCAAGGGAGGCAAGAAGATAACTCATGTCTCCTGGGGCTGTACTACACCTTCTATGTGACTTTCCCCTTACATGAAGTTGCAGTGGAGATGGGGATGGGGGGGGCACAGAGGCTGAAAGTGTCATTGTGTTTTCTAGTAAATGGAGAGAAAGTGCACCTAGAGGAGGTCTTGAGCAAAAAGCAAGGTATTTACCAGTTGCTGTGTCTTCCTTATTCTACTCATCTACCCCACAAAAGTCCATACTCCTCAGAGCAGCCAGAGGAATCTCACTGAACCCTAAGTCAGGGGGAAGCTTCCCTCTCTGCACAGATCTCTCCCTGAGTTGTACCTTACTTGGAGTAAACACCCAAGTCTTCACAGTGCCCTCCAATGCCTGACATGATGTGGGGCCATTACCTCTAGCCAACCCTGAGTCCCCAAGAGCTTTCAAAGGGTCTCCCTGATTCCTTCCCCACAGAGGCACTGAGGATCCTCCAGCTGCACTGCCAAGAGAAGGAAAGTGAGGCTCAGAGGTAAGAGGCCCTGCCTCAGCTCTTCCCCACCTCATTTCCCAGCTGAAAAAGGAGGGAGCAAGAGCTATGGAAATGAATCTTGGACATGACTCATTTTCCCTTTCTATAAAATAGAGCAGCCAGACAAAAGACTTCCTTGGTTATCTCTGATATTAAATAGTCATGTTAAGATTAATTTACTCATTTAATTATCCATTACTAATTTCTTCATCAAATATATTCCATCCACTGGTGTTAGTCTGTCTTTCTCTGCTGGCTGTCCAGCTCCTTCAGTACCTATGTACTTATTTGTCTGCTTATTTTAGGCCTCAGTCATCCATTTACCACCCATTCACCTACCACCCGTCTAGCCATTCACCTACTCACTCATTCATCCATCCACTCATCCAACTACCCAACCCTAACATCCATCCAGATGACCTTTTTATCTCCAGCCTTCCACCTAATAATCTTCCATCCATCCAATCATGCATTCATCCCCTCTGTTCTTCCCATAGCCATTCATTTCTTCACTCAACCATCCATCCAGACATCAATCCTTTCTTCTAGCAATCCTTTATTTCTCTCCAGCTCCTATTCCTCTACTCATCATTTTTCTAATCAGCTATCGTCTCTCCAGCCAGCAACTCACACATCCAATCAACTGTCCATCCAACCATGTATTCATCCATCTCTTCATCCTCTGAACCTTTACTTAGCACATTCCTGTTACCAGAGGTCTCACATCCTGGTGCACCATGACTTTAATTGCATGGGGAAACCTGATGTTAGCTAATGTGTGTATACCTAACCACACTACTCACACTGTCTGATGAGCATGTATGTACCTAATCCTCACAATGACAATTATAGGAGTTAAAGGCTAATGTCACCCTCCCATCACTGCCACTATTTTACATATGAGGAAACAGAGACCTAGAGAGGTTAAGTAACTTGCTCAGGGTCACAGTGAAGTAGCAGATCAGGCTTCAAGCCAGGATGTTAGAATCTGTGGTGCCAAACTACTACACCCCTCACAAAGCTTTCTTGGGAAGCCAGGGTTCATTCCACGGGAACAGGATGGACAGGGTGATGTTCTCAACAGAAGCCCATGAAGGTTCTCATTCAGCAGGAGAAAACTGAAAGGTGAATGTTGTAAGCAGATATCCCAACTCCCACTCCTGCTGGAGTGAATGATGGGTCATTCAGTGAATATGACTGAGGGGTTGTCTTTCCCTTCCCAGGAAGCACATGTTGCAAGAGTGCATTGAACAAATTTTTGTCCATACCTTTCAGATTTCAGAGTCCCAAACAGAGGAATCTGGGATAACTCCCAAGCTTGGGGCCTGGCAAGACACTGTATAGAAAGTGGGGGCAGGGCTTGCATCAGGGAGAGTTTGTTGGAAGAGATGATACAGGAACCAAAACTTCAAGGATAAAACCCATAAAGGAGCTCCCAGCAGAGGAAGCATGGACAGGACCTGAAGGCCTGTGCATGAGGAGCTCCCTTCAGGGTGTAAGGCCTAGCATGTGTTCATTCTTTCATTCCTGGGTGTCGGTCTCCAGGTTGGATGTCAAAGGAGAGCTGGAGGATCTGATGGGCCAGCACAAGGACCTCTGGGAATTCCATGTGAGCTATTATCGCCTCCAGCCAAAGTCACTCCTCCCCTGGCTTTAGTGTCCCACTAACTGGCCCAGTGTCCACCCCTGCCCAGGCCCAATGCTGTGGGATAGTCCTTGATTCCTTGCTTCCCCTTGCCCACCTACTCAGTCCCTTGGCTTTTATCTGAAATCAACTTGCATCTCACCATCCTCCACTGCCAAAACCAGCATCACCTGCCTAGACGGGTGCAGTAGCCATTGTGACCCTGCTTTCCCCCTGCTCACCTAGAGTATGTTCACCTTGCAGTGGCAAATGGCAGCCCAGAGAAAGCCGTGATCAGGTCATTCCTTCATTCAGCTACTGTCAATGGCTGCACCAGGCAGCATGTGAGGCAGGGAGAAAGGGTGGCGGACAAAGGGGCCACGTCTTTGTTGTCCCAAGCTGGATAGGGACAGTGGAGACATACCCAGACTCCAACCAAGGAAGTAAGTGGCTAGATAGTGAAACGTCAGTAGAAAGACCTCTAAGCAAGTGACATCTGAATTCAGTGGTGAAGGAAGTGAGGGAAGAAACCGTGCAGGTATCTGGGTGCAGAAGCAAAGTCTCTGAGGCTGGATTATGCCTGAAATCTTTGAGGAACTCAGATTGGGGAGTGGAGGATGAGGACAGTGGGAAGAGTTCAAGTTTGAGAAGTGCCTGGAAACATGGAGAGCGGTTAGGGGGAGGTGGGTGGGTCTCCAGCCACAGCAGAAACTGCACACTGAGTTAACAAATAGTTGAATGAATGAATGAATGAATGACCTAATGTAGGTGAAGACTTAGCGAGAAGCACAAAGCGGGAGGGGCGGGACGTGTAGCCTAGAGGAAAGCCAGACCGTCAGGCCTCCTCTTTGTCCTCGCAGATGCTGGAGCAGCGACTGGCCCGGGAGATCCGTGACCTGGAGAAGAGCAAGGAGCAGCTGCTCTCGGAGAGTGAGTTTCCCGCGCCAGGTGGGCGCGGGAGGAGGAGGATGTGCCCGGCCTCGGTCCCGTCCCTGTCCCTGACGCCCGCCCACCCGCAGGAAGGCTGGTGCGCGCCAAGCTGCGGGAGGCGGAGCGGCGGCTGCGCTCACCGTCTGATGTCGAGGGCGCCAAGGCGGCGGAGGACGGGTGAGAGGGGAAGGAAGGCGTGAGCGAGGTGGGCAGGGGCAAGGAGGAGCGGAGCGGGCCCAGGTCTACCTCTCCGCCCCCCACTGCCCCTCCCCGGCCTGTGCCTCCCTCGGTGTCGTCGGGTTTCCGCCTCTCGGTGGCTTCCTCCTCTGTCCTCGGCACCTTCTCCGCAGGCTGAGGGAGGAGCTGGAGATATTCGGGGAGCAGGTCCAGAGCGCCCTCGAGGTCCGGGTCGGCCAGAGAGAGGTAGGGAACCCGGGGAAGGGGGGCGGGGCGGGCAGGGACCAAGTCAGGAGAGAGCGGGCGGGGTCTTGGGTGCGGACCCCGCTGTGGCTACGTCGCGCATGCGCGGGCGGACGCGAGGTGCTCGGGAGCCTGGTTCGCAGCCTCACCCCGCTCGCCCCCCGCAGGCCGGACCGGAGCTCCCCCGCGACGAGGAGGACCCGGAGCCGCCAGTGGCTGCCACTGAGGCCCCCTAGGCTGGCAGGACCCGCCCAGTTCTGACCTTCGCTCGAGACGGGCCAAAAAATAAAGCTGATCATTTCCGACCGTGCTCACGTTCTCCGCGGAGTCTGTGCTTCTCGGCGGGGCGGGGCGGGGCGGGGACGGGCCTCGGCCGGACCCCGCCCACCAGCGAGCCCAGGGTGCTGGACCCAGGCAGGGAAAATGCTCCCGAGCTCAGATAGAGTAAGTGGGTGTCAGGACCTGCCCCACGGCCTCATCTCGAGTTCCCAAACCATCTGTGTTGTCAACAGGGGCTAGAGGGCGAGTGTTAACCCATGCGGGTTCTGGGGGCCTGTGCGTCTCTGGTGTTCTCTGGAAACCCAGTCTCTGCAAGACTCGCAGACTCGCTCTGGCTCTGGGACCTCCCTGCCCACCTGAGCTCACCTCACATTATTGGGTTCTAGCCAAGGCTGCCTCTCTACCCTTCTGAAACACTCCAAATACTGTCCCCTCGGGGCCTTTGCCCTGCCGGTCCTGGTCTTGGGTCACAGCCCTTAGGCCTCCTCAGGGCATCTGTACTCACCTCACCTGTTAAATGTGTCCACCACTTCGGAGCCCGGCCTTGGGAACCCCACTCCAAAGGCGCTGGGCACCAGGCTGCTGCCCTTGACTGAGCATGTATTGACTAAGCAGGCATTTGCCGATTGCCTGCTGAGTGCCAGGCACTGTTGTAAACCCTGGATTTTAAACAGCGGTGTCAGCGAAGGCCTCACCTAGAAAGTGGTATCTGAGCGGAGAAGCGAGGGAGTGAGCCCTGTGGTCGTCTGGGGAATGGTGTGCCTGGCTGAAGACATGCCTGATGCCAAGGCCGTGAGGTGAGGCTGCACTTCGCTGTGTTTGAGGAGCCTTCTGGAGGAGGCTGGCGTGGGAGTGGAATGAGGTAGACCGGGAGGGGAGACGACACTGGAGAGTTGCCAGGGACCAGTCAAGTTGGGTCCTATCTAATGTGTGTAGAAGAGGACCTGGTGTGCAGTAAATATTCAGTGAATGTCAACTCTCACATACAGTTGCGATGATTCACTATTCCCAATCCCTAGAGAACGGGACCTGAGCCGTGTGACTCATTTAAGATCAGAGGCTTCTCTCCATTAAGTGAAGAGTAAGTGGTTCATATGATTTATTATTATTGTTCCCAGGCTACAGATGAGGAACACCAAGGTGTGTGTATCTCTCAGAACAGAAATTTTTTATGCAATAAATGCCCAATAAATCGTATCTTTTATTATTCTCACTATTCTTGTTGTCATTCCCAATTTAGAGATGAGGAAAACTGAGACAGTGAATGTGTACAGTCAGCCCTCAATAAATGTTGGGTTGCCGTTATTATCCCAGGTCCACAGATTAGGTCCAGGGAGCTTTAGTCCCTGAGTCACCACTCACACCTGGGCACAGCTGACTCCAGGCCCAGGCAGTGATCCCCCGCCTCACTGACATCACCTGCTTGCTAAGGCCAGTCTCCAGGAATCTCCAAGGAACCTCAGCATCTTCTTTTGTCATCCTCTCTGTGTCACGCAAATGGGGTCAGCCTGGATATTCTGCTGACTTAACGCTGTGCACCTAGGATTCAAGTCCTGGTTTCCCTGTTCACTGGTGGGATGACCTCAGGCAAATTGCTTAATGTCTCTAAAACTCAAATGACCAAATTTGGAAAATGGTGCTGCCCTCTCTACAGAACTTACTATAAACTGGCTAACTCCTCACTCCCTGGGACATGTCCTTTGGGTCCCTGGACAAGCTAAATACTATATAGAGATGACTGGTACACAGAGTCATCTCATGCCATTCAGATGGATAAATCCATTTACCCACTTCCCTTCACAGTGTCGCGGAAGTCAGTAAATGCTGGATGCAAGGTCATTCATGACCTGGTCCACACCTTTCTTTCCTGTCTCATCTGTCTCTGCGTTGTCCACTCCTACTTAGAAGCCTGGAAAACACCAAACTGCCACTGCCCCATGATGTTACTTTTATTCATACCATTTCCTCTGGTTGGAACACCCTTCTCAGTATGCTTTGTCTGAGTAAATATTAACTTGCATGAAATCTAGAGCTGGGATAAGACATGCAGAGTATTCCCACAGACATGTTCATACCGTATTACCAGTGATATGTCACTTCACTTGTGTTTACTGAAGGGTGTCATGTATTAACCTTCATTATCTTAGGAATGTAATGGTTATGTGTTATCCATGATCTTGCAGCCAGTCCCTGGGACAGCCAATAGGTGAGTCCTACCCCATGCTACAGTGTATACATTCAAAATGGCCAATTTAGGGACAATTTGAGCATTAATAAGTAATAAGGAGGGAAGCAGAGGACTTGTCTATTTGGGAGAAACTAAAAAGACAACAGCCTCTACATTGAATCACAAAACTCCATGAAGATACTCATGAAAATAAAAGGAAAAGGAACAAACTCTTTATTTATTTATTTATTTTTTACAGCCGAGTAACAGCCAATCAGTGAGAAAGGAAAGAAAGAATTTAAAGATCACCATTTTTTAATCAACAATGAAGTAATTGGTTCATGAGTCAATGAATGGTTGGTGGTTGCTAACACCACTGGGGGAAAAGCTGTTAAGGAGCAGGATAATCACACGTTCTCAAAGTTTTATCCTGCAGTGTCTTTATTAACTCCGAAGGGGGATGTGCCTTACGGTGGGGAGATTGGGGAGCTACCACCTGATCCAAGGGCCAAGTTCAGCACCACCGGTAGCAGAACAGTCTGACCTTATGTTCCTCTTGACGGCAGATACGCATCATCACCCATGTGGGGTTTTTGATGAAAATATTTAATCAGAGGAAAGAGACACAATGAAAAGTTCTGTAAGACAATTGTCTTGGACACCTGAAAAGATTCAGAGTCATGAAGATAAAGGAGACTGGTGTATTAGTCTCCTATTGCTGCTGTCACAAGTTCACACAAATTTCATGGCTGAGCAATACCAATGTATTACAGTTCTGTAGGTCAGAAGTCTCACTAGACTAAAATCAGGGTGTCATTTGGGCTGCAGTTTTGTATGGTCTGGGGAGAATCATTCTTTAGTTTAGTTTTTTTTTTTTTTGAGACGGAGTTTCGCTGTTGTTACCCAGGCTGGAGTGCAATGGCGCGATCTCGGTTCACCGCAACCTCCGCCTCCTGGGTTCAGGCAATTCTCCTGCCTCAACCTCCTGAGTAGCTGGGATTACAGGCATACGCCACCATGCCCAGCTAATTTTTTTGCATTTTGAGTAGAGACGGGGTTTCACCATGTTGACCAGGATGGTCTCGATCCTTTGACCTCGTGATCCACCCGCCTCGGCCTCCCAAAGTGCTGGGATTACAGGTGTGAGCCACCGCGCCCAGCCCATTCTTTAGTTTTTTTAAGGCTACCTGGGATCCTTGACTCATTAATCTCTGCTTCCATGGGCACATCTCTGACTGACTGACTCTCCTGCATCCCTTTTGTAAGGAACTTTGTGATTATGTTAGGCCCACCTAGATAATCCAGGATAATCCCCTCATCTTGTGATCCTCAACTGAATCATATCTGCAAAGTCCGTGTAGCCATGTAAGGTCACACCTTCACAGATTCTTTGGATAAGGATACAGACATCTTCGGGGGTCTGTTATTTTGCCAGCCACAGTGTGGGACTACTATTCTTGATCAGGAGAGACCAAAACAATTTTTTTTTTTTTTTTTAGACAGTCTTGCTCTGTCGTCAGGCTGCAGTGCAGTGGCCTGATCTCTGCTTACTGCAGCTTCCACCTCCTGAGTTCAAGCAGTTCCGCTGCCTCCGCTTCCCAAGTAGCTGGGATTACTGGCGCACCCTATGACATCCGGCTAATTTTTTGTATTTTTAGTAGAGATGGTGTTTTGCTATATTGGCCAGGATGCTCTCCATCTCCTGACCTCGTGATCTGCCCACCTCACCCTCCCAAAGTGCTGGGATTACAGGTATGAGCCACCATGCCCGGGCCCTGAACCCCCCCGAAAATTTTTAATACAATTTATGAACCTTCATTAGAACTTGAAACAAGGGTAGGGGAAACAGCTATAAATAACATTTTAGGGTTTGGGGGGAAATTTAAGAATGGACTGAAATTTGGATGATGTTATTGGATTAGCATTTGAATGATAGCAGTGATGCAGTTGATTGGAGAATGTTCTTGATTTTAAGAGGTGAGTGTGGAAATAAGTTTCGTGTCTGCCACCTGTTTTTGGACGGGTTGACAGGAGAAACTGTGTGCATGTGTATATACAGAGAGAGGGAAGGATAACGGATGTGGTAAGATGTTAGTTGGTGAATCCAGGTGTTACTTGTATGGTTCTTTTCGATAGAGTAGATAAATTTTTTAAAGATTTAGAAACCAATAACAGTAATAAGTGATAAATTGAGGCTTATTTTCCAGTCCCCTCCTATCTGCTAGACCTCCCAGTGAGAGGTCTCTGAAATAGCAGACGTTGTATTTTATATGAGTACACAGAATTGGATTTGAGAATCTATCCTCATACCCCAAGGAATGAACACCTCTTCATTCAAAAATTATTTTTCCACAACTGAATTTGCTGGTTTATAATGATCTTATATCCCAGCCCAACTCTGCCTTCTTCGTGGGATGTCTTCACTGGTGCTTAGTTCCTTGAAAGTGAGAAAAAGTGCATCTTAGGCTCTCAAGGGCTCTTCCTCTCCCCAGTTGCCATTGTTTGCTGGGAGATATTTTCACTCTCTTTTTGGCCGGGAATTTCAGGAATTATAAAG